GACCCTAAACATAAAGCCAGGGCAACAATGGAATGGTTTAAAACAAAACATATCCATGTGTTAGAATGGCCCAGTCAAAGTCCAGATCTAAATCCAATCGAGAATCTGTGGCAAGATCTGAAAACTGCTGTTCACAAACGGTGTCCATCTAATCTGAGTGAGCTGGAGCTGTTTTGCAAAGAAGAATGGGCAAGGATTTCAGTCTCTAGATGTGCAAAGCTGGTAGAGACATACCCTAAAAGACTGGCAGCTGTAATTGCAGCAAAAGGTGGTTCTACAAAGTATTGACTCAGGGGGGCTGAATAATTATGCACACCCCACTTTGCAGTCATTTATTTGTAAAAAAATGTTTGGAATCATGTATGATTTTTGTTCCACTTCTCACGTGTACACCACTTTATATTGGTCTTTCACGTGGAATTCCAATAAAATTGATTCATGTTTGTGGCTGTAATGTGACAAAATGTGGAAAAGTTCAAGGGGGCTGAATACTTTTGCAAGTCACTGTATTATTTACATTATTAAGGAGCTGATGTTGAAAATTAAAGAATCTGAAAAAAATACACACCTTTGGGAAGTTTCATTCCATTTGCATTAACAGAACAAAAATGGTTGAAAAAAAAAGTGAAGTGGCCACAAATGGCCAGGATAGAGCCCGGAGGGTTAAATACACACCTCTGTAGTAGGTTTTTTTTTCCTCAGCAAGTGAGAGACTTTGGGAAATCTAGGTGTACTGTGATTAGTCAAACGCTTGCACATCCAGAAAAAGCAAATGCTTAAAAATAAAATTTATAAAATGTGAGTTGGTAAAACAAAAGCTATTCAGGGCAAACAGCTCCTAATGTTAGGCTTAAAAAATGGAACAGATAATTAGAGAAATGAGATTTGCATTGTAGGTACAAGTGGCAGCAAAATCAAAACACTGCATCCAGCGCTAGCATTTCCAGCACCGGTAACCATTAATTCTGTGGTTTTAATCCATACTTGCATTTTATTTGCCCCAAAACAGTCATGTACAAAACGAAGGAGAACACGGCACGTCCATACAAAGACAGACTTTGTGGACTAAAGACGTTGGCGTGCTGACCAACTTCATCACGCACATATTTCTAATTATATGGTCCTAAGTGTGAGTGCATACACTCACAAAATGTTTAGTAACTTCAGATCCCTGCAACAAGCCCAGGTCCAGTTTACTTTGGTGATTTGGACTATTCCATTTCACAGCTGTTGTTAATTTTTTTTTTTTCTTTGCGTTGGCCTGTACAGGAGATAATCTATTTGTCGTTTCAGTTTGTAGTATTACACAACATTTTCAGATCCAATAGAAATAAAATAAGAGTTTCGTAATTCATTCAATTTATTGTCTTTATTTATAACTGGCATTATTGTTTCATTCTATTATAGAATCTTACAAGAAAGAGGCAAAATTGTATTCCATTGTGCTTTGGTGAAAAACAAATTAACAATGGGGGAAAAAAAATAACCATATCAAAACAACATACTGGAAAACAGTTATTCATCACTTGATTGCTTCAATACGACACTTGGGCACATCAATCAAATCTCGCTGTGGTAGCAGCTTTAAACTCGGTATGACCCAGGTTGATAGAGGGGGCCCAGTCTTCCTACAAAACACAACAAACATTAGCCCGCAAAGGCACAGTAAACAAAGCAGCATAGCGCAACGAATTCAATTCAAATCATCCATCCATCCATTCGCTTCCGCTTCTCCTTTTCAGGGTCGCGGGAGGCGCTGGAGCCTATCCCAGCTGTCATAGGGCGAGAGGCGGGGTACACCCTGGACAGGTCGCCAGTCTGTCGCAGGGCTAACACACAGGGACAGACAACCATTCGCACTCACATTCATTCGCACATTCACACCTAGTGACAATTTGGATTATCCAATTAACCTATCCCCACAAGCTGCATGTCTTTGGACCGTGGGAGGAAGCCGGAGTACCCGGAGGGAACCCACGCAAACACATGCAAATTCCACACAGAAAGACCCCGGCCTGATATTGGAATTGAACTCAGGACCTTCTTGCTGTGCGGCAACAGTGCTAACCACCGTGCCACCGTGCTGCCCTCTCAATTCAAATCAATATAAGACTTATTTGTAACCTACATCAACTATTATGTTATGATAAATTACTTAATAACTACAGCAAAAGACTTACCTTTGTGGACATGCTTGGAGCAGACTAACATGTGAGCTGGAGTGTGCTGAAATATTTGGTCTTCGAATAGCTGCAATCCAGGCCATCCGTCGGCTCTTTGTTACTTCAGAAACATGGCTTGAACAGTTTCTCTTCCACGACGGAATCCAATAAAAACCGATCTGTTTACCCGTCAGCCTCCCGTGGCTGTCATGCGACCGGCTATTGCATACAACAGCTTCTTGCCATTATTTGTGTTTCTTTTTATCGCTGTGTGACTGTTTTCTTGTGAAAGCCTGCGTGCGCTAGTACCACTTGCCACTCGTACCTACAATCCTTTGCGGTTTTGATGTCACATTTTCGATCTGTATAAGAGGTGACATTACCAGCCAACCACAGAGGCAGCTGTTACATTACCCATGAGTATTTGTGAATGCACTGGAAGGTATTTAGCTCCACAGGCCAGCCTTACAGTGAGTGCTTCCCACCAAGTGATCCCCAGAACACACTGTGATGTTCTTCAGTACAGACTTTAAAAACTTTTAGAAATCCGATGGGATGATGAGAACAATTAATTTTGTTATTCGTTTAAAATAAAATGTAAAATATCAGCTAAATTGTAGCTGATATTGCTAAAGTCAGGTTTTTCTCTTTTAACCACAGGCACAATGGAGAGGTGCCATCCACACGACCAAAGTCTGACTCCGAGCCATTACCTCTCACCAAACCGGTGTCTGCAGACTCTGTGGAGAAGTCGGGTACAGGTATGTCCATACTACTACATGCATGTCAGATTGCTACAGTCATAACCCCTGGTATCAAATTATTTCCACTGTAGCCATATTAAAAATAAATAAATAAAGTGTATCTATAGTTTTGTTTCCTACTTTAATTATTGTCGGTTGCTTATAAGAAGTCAATAAATGACTTCACCAGAAGATTTTTGCTTCTGGTGAAACACATTCAGTGTGTGAATGTGTGTGTGAATGGGTGGATGACTGGTTGTGTAAAGCGCTTTGGGGTCCTTAGGGACTAGAAAAGTGCTATACAAATACAGGCCATTTACCATTTACCATTTGACAGTAAGTCTTTTTTGTGACCGTGGTAAATAACATTTCTGAACACAGATTTTAATTTTTGGTCAGAAAATCACGACTAATTCATGAAGGGCACCAAAAAAGTGTCACCAAAATACCAACACCATTTATTAAACCAAAGAAAAATAATAATTTAATTTCAGTTCATTTCTGATTTGTTAGTATAGTGCAAAATTGTAACTATAGATGATAATTTTCTCATGTATGACATGTGTACCTAATTAGCCTAAGCTTGTTAGTCTGTATAAGACTTGAATGCTAGGAGGCCAGTCATAAATGTTATCTGTTTTGCTTGCTTTTTCCAGGATATATATTACCTTTTTGAGCTATTTGCCAATATATGGGCCAACACATAAAAATGTAAAAAAAGAAAAAAGATGAGACTGAAGAAACACCCTTCAGTCACATTCTCTGTGTTGATATTCCATAGTGAATCCGCCAGAGGACGCCTTCCAACAATCAGCTGATCTTAGCAAAGTTGGGGAGAGCTTAAACAAGTAATCCACGACTTTCTGTGAGAACAAAATAAGCTTATTTTTAGACTGGGTTGTCCTAGCGTTTTAGTAAGAACTCATAAATACCTGTATATTTCTTGTGTCACATGGGTTAGACATTCACTTGGCAAGGAAAAGGTTGCTGATTCACTTTCAGCCAGAGGCGCAAACGTTCTGTGGAGTAGTAGCAGGAAGGACATCCGGCGTAAAACTGCTAGATCAAACATGCACAGCTACCCGCTGTGGTGACCCCCTTGTAGCAAAGCAGCAGCTGAAAGTAGCTTTGATCTAATCAGAGGCTTTTAATCTAAAAACAATTCTTCAGGTCGTTTAGTGACTGCAGCTAAGCAGATCTGGAAAAAAAAAGAAGAACACAACACAAACAATGATCTTACAAGCAGTTTCATCAGTAAAAGCCTGATATCCATTTTTAACTGCACGTGTATGTTAACTTGACATGAGGTTGTTTACATACAACACAATGAACTACAGGCCAGGAAGAATGGAGTTATTGCTGCATTGCATGAACGGTGAAAAACAGTGAGTACTGTGTAACAGCACTTTGCACCTACTCAGCGGTAAACTGCTGGCTTGAATTGCAGCTGAGATTGAACTTTCATGTTTCATGGGTGTGCGTGACAGACTGGCTTCTGGAGACTTGTCAACTTTTAGCACCTCAGCTGTATGGCGTTATTTTTGTGCCACTATTCTGAGTGCACATAAAAAAAATTTGCAGGTGCAAGTGTTGCATTTTGAGGAGAAATTTATTTTGAGCGAAGAAAAACTGAATTTGAGTGAACAGAATTCATTGCTGCGTGCAGAAAATGGATTTCAGTGTTTGCTATTATTCACACACACACAATAGCAGCCCCTCTCGCTCAGTTTTTGCATTTGCGCTTGCTCGCAATGTGTTGCTTGCGCTC